CTTTGGCTCTTAGATAAAAGATACTTGAGGATGATTCTTTCACTGAACATAGAAAAGCCAAGGCCCACAGTCACTTAGCTGAACAAGTAGATGAGGCCAGGAAAGGGAAACCCAAGCCCGCTGCCACGGAGTCAAGTCTGGTTCCTACCAACCATATAAGACAGAGTAAAACACAGATCCACAGGGTTTCCAAGGCTGTAAATGTTTACAAAAGCAGACTGCCACATCTGTCTCCCACAGAGTGACTGTTAAGTGCCGTCGAGTTGGTTCCGACTCATAGTGATCCTGTACAGGGTTTCCTAGCAGCAGTTGGTGGGTTTGAACCGCTGACCTTGTAGTTCTCAGTCCAGGGCTGATCCTACAGCACCACACCAGGAGCCCTTTGGAATGACTGACTGCTGCTGATTTGCCATGAAAATATTTCCAACTCATAGAGACCCTGTGTAGGGATTCCCAGGCTGTAAATCTTTATCGGACCACAAAGCGTTATCATTCTCCTGTGGAACAGCTGGTAGTTTCAAAGTCCTGACCATCGAGTTAGCAACCCAACTGGTAACCGCTAAGCTCGGATTTCAAACCACTGACCTTTCAGTTAGCTGCCCAGTGATTAACCCACTGCACCATCAAGATGAGAAAACTTTGTGATTAGAGAAAAACTTAAAAAATTCCAAACAACTAACTTTTGATGCTTGTTACCTACCCTGCTTCAACCACCTTTTCATAGACCAAACTTGATTATTTCAGAGTGGAGAAACAATTTGGATTCTGGTTTTTCCCCACCATGTTTACTATCTATATTTGAATGTACACATTATAAAATCTTTGAGAGTGCTTGTGGCATTTGCTTTTCAAAATCTAGCTTGAACCAAGATAGGTGGGAAAGATGCACTTTTACCAAGAAAATGTGTTTCTTTTGTCCTCCAAGAAAGATTTGGTCCCAACTTTGCATACATTCCTTCTGTTCTACTATATCACCCCCAGTCTTTCACCTGCTGTCTTTAGCCAATGATTTCCTTGAAAGGTCACTGGAAAGGTCACTGCTAATTTGTATTCGTTGGTTTCATATCTTAAGAAAAGTTAATACAGCGGAGGTGGGCTTTATCAGCTCCAATAGTTTTAGATGCCTTAGTCTTTGTTTGGTTATCTCCTCACATACAATGAAATTGGAGAGTCCCAATTGTTTCCAACACAGTTAACTTTGGATTCTTTTTTGCTTATTTAATGACATTTTATGTGGAATTTTATATGGATTTTTTTTTTTTTTTTACCTTGTTGTTTCATGCCATCAAGTCAGTTCCCAGTCATAGCAACTCTGTTTCCAAGGAGCAACTGATGGATTTGAACCACTGACCTTGCCGCTCAAAATGACCTTGTAGTCCAGTGCTTACCTTAGGAATAAGAAACTATATTTTTCCAAAAGAAGTATAAGAATATATTATATACATATATATGTATACATATATGCACACACCTTCCAAATCTCTTTCTACTTCTGAATATTCAGGTTCTGGAATTTGGAGTTTTATTAACTCTGTGCTTCACCTCTGCATTCTCAAATTCTTGCACTTTCCACTCGAAATAGCTGTAGGACTCCAATTAAATCCTATCAGATTCTTTTTACAGCTGAAATAGGGACCCCTGAAGTCATTTCTAGACTAATATGCCTGCTTAATATGTGAGATTGTCTTCATCACACTCCCCCTTCCAATTATTTTTAAACTCACTCTTCAAAGTGAAAAAAAAAAAAAAATGCAACAGAGACTTAGCAGTAGAAATACAAGAACTTGCCTTTTCTTTCTATCATTCTTAGGAATGGCATTTTTAAACACGAGCTGATGTCAGGCATTGAACTGTCTCCATACAGGGATGCATGTTTTGATTAAAAGCTGTTTAATATCTCTAGTTCCTTAGAATGCCACCTACAGCTGGACATATTCTTAGCTGCATGTCTTGTGCCTTCTTTGACTACATAGAAAAACTAGTCCAAAATCCCAAGGGGCAAAAATGGCATTCTCAAAATAATTGCTTGGTTATCCCACAAAAAAATATTGATGTCTTCAGAATTAGGAATTATGAAAGATTATTGAGACATAAAGGAGATGTGTAGAAGTAGTATCTTTTCTGTACTTCCGTGGATGTATCCTTGATACCAAACAGTTTTTGTTTTAATCAGGCTTAAGGAGCTCTGGTAGCTCAGTGGTTACGAATCGGGCTGTGAGGTCAGCAATTGGAAACTACCAGCTGTTCCACAGGAGAAAGATGAGGCTTTCTGCTCCCGTAAATATTTACACCCTCAGAAACCCTGTATAAGGTCGCTATGAGTCAGAACCAACTCCACGGCACACAATGACAACAGGGTACCATATTTATATGGTGGGACTAAAGAATGGGAAAACATTTCATGTTTTCTTAACTTGCACCTATAGTTAAATCAGCAGGGTCTAAATCAAAGCCATTTAACCAAGTGTGGGATTATAATATGATCTTGTTTTTAAACTGGTTTTAATGTAAAATTGCTGTTAGGCGCCATGGAGTTGGTTCTGATGCATAGCAACTCTGTGCACAAGATTGAAACACCATCAGGTCCTGCACTCATCTCACAATTGTTGTCATGTTTGAGCCCCAAAGTGTAAAATAGTTGAGCAAATTCTCAGGGCACCTCAGATTTAATTAAAAAATAAAAAACAACTTCACTCCAAGAGACAAGTAGCATTTGTTTAGATACAAATAGTATTTTGACTCAAAAAGTTATTTTAGCTTCGGACAGTGGTAGTATTTCTTCACTTTAACTAGCAGCCTTTTCAAGGCATATACTTACAGAGCACTGACTGGTTTCTTTTGTTAGCTTACCAACAGCATTTCATGCATTTAGATATTGTTGCAACACAGTTAGAAGGTGGGGCCCCTGGAACCGCATTGTGTACTGCCATCATCACAAGATGCCATTTTCCAACCCCCGAAGGTCCTGTCTATACTTGTTTACAGGTCACCTGGATAGTAACCAATATGTGTTCAACGGCTTGAGTGTTATCACGGTAACCTTGGAAACCAAGCTGGCTTTGATTTCAAAACGTCACATGCTGGATCATAAAATTAGATAACAGAATTGACATTTAGCTGCATGTCTGTCATATGAATTAAGCTCTAGAATGATTTTCGTTATAGCCAAGTGCTTTAATATGGAAATAGAAGGCACCAACTAGAGTAATTTTATACGTAAGTATACTATTCCTTGTTTAGATGCTGTGTACATTTCCTGAAGTATTCTCATTGATACTGAATCTCACATACTTTCATACTATTCTCAGCATACCAATATTCATGGTGACTTTATTTTATGATCAGGACAAAGCTTCATCAGATACTGGATATAAGTAGGATTATGAATAATAGAAAACTCACAGCAAGAAAATGTAAAATTCAAAGCATTCTTGGTTTTACTGGATATTGTTACTTATGCTGATTGGAAGCAAAACTGAGCACAGAATATTCCACAAACTAAATCAGAATTCCAAAGATGAGATATGCTGCCCTTTCATTTCCTTTTACATGCATATTTTACAAATATCCTTCCAGGGTCCAAGAACCTTTGATGATGTCTTTATTTCAAGGAGATTCTAAACATGCAGATTAATATGTTCATCTACTTTGAGTTCTAGGATCTTTTTTTTAATAACTTGAAAATATCTTAATCTTGGAATTTTTCCCTGCATTTACTGTCACTTGGTGCCATTTTTCTTGGATAAATTTAAAGACACAACATGTGAATTGCATTTAATGTATGCACCCTGCAGTTTTGTGCACTGGAAATGACTCTTTTTAGAAATTCTGTGGTTGCCTGGATATATCTGTTTGTCTTCATTGATATGTAGGGGGACTAGCTCATTAATGATTTAAAAAGAAGATGTTTTGATTCATTGACTTGATGCTTCTCATTACATAAACAATAAAGGCAACAAATTAACATCTAATAGAATTCTAAGAGTTTATTTCTGAATTTAGCTGCAAGGTAATTTTCATTCCTTGGGCATCATTTTTCTATTCTTTATATTCTGCCTTAATGTTGTGAACGTCGTCATTCTGCGTATTTTAACTTTAAACTCTGGTTTATACATCTAATTAAAGATACCTGTTAGCAGGTATTTGTCAAGCTACATAATTGAGCAGCTGTTTTATAAAGCAGTTCTTTGGCTTCTAGAATGGTAAGTCATTATGTAAAAATGTACATAATAAAATTGCCTATAAAGGAATTCATTCTTTCCTCATATACTTGCTATGTGTCATATAACATTTGAGAAAACTGCATACAGCATTTTGTCATCTTGTGAACTATGCATCTAATTCTTGCGTTAAATACTGCCTTCTTGCCTTATACCTAGTAAAGAATGAGAATTCCTGCAAATTCAGGATTTTTCTTTTCGGAAACAGATAAGTGGTTATGCCTTCTACATGTGTTCAGAAGCGGGAAGAAGGGCAGAAATCCTTCTGTGTATTTACTGACTCTGTGCAGCAAATACTTCATTACATTCTCAGTGATGTTTAAACTGTTTGCTTTATCTCATTGGATTGAGTCATCATCACTTTTATGTATAAACTGGTAAAAGGTGGTTTTTATTATTTTCTTTTTTGTCTTGAAACTATTTCTTGTGATGAACAGAAATAGTTCAGCATGTTGTGGTTCCAGGACTAAGTAAGATTTGGATCATCATCTATATTGTAAAATAACTTCATTTGAAACTTCTTAATGCACACGCATTCTGTAGTACAATATGGAAATAAACTATTACGCTGTATTAGTGCTGGAGTGTGGGGCTTACCAGGCTGTTTGCATGATTCTGAGATGTATTTTAATATCTGGTCTTCTTTTTTTGGTATTTTGTTTTAATTGTGACATGTTGTGGTATTTTATAGGGACAGGAGGAGGGAGGTACCATAAGGGTTTTAAAAAAAAAAGAAAATTGTTAACAAGTAATAGAGTTTCTTTTATGGTTTCCTCTTAGGTCCGATGTTGTGGTTCTCTGTTTTTCCATCGCCAATCCCAATTCCCTAAATCATGTGAAAACCATGTGGTATCAAGAAATCAAGCACTTTTGCCCTCGCACACCTGTTGTTCTAGTTGGCTGTCAGCTAGATCTCCGCTATGCTGATCTTGAAGCTGTTAATCGAGCCAGACGCCCTTTAGCAAGGTAAGCCAGAGTACTTGGTGTTTCACTGTTCTGGCCACATTAAACTATAGAGGTAGCAGGTCTCTCTGTAACCTTGCATCTTGTTCTTCAGTGGATCTGGGACACCATCAGTCAGCTAGAGGCTTTAAGCTATTTTGTTAATCACAAAGTAGTATGGTCCAGAATTCTCACTCTTACCTCGCCTCCTCTTAACACGGAAAGCCATTTTTGAAATAGTGGTTGTCCAGTGCTTGAAATGAAATTTCTAATTATGAGATGGTGTGTGAGAGTACTTTGAAATTTGCAAAGTATTAGATAAAATGTTAACTACTTATAACAATGTCGTTCTGAAAATGATAATTTTTATAATAAAGTTAACTAAACTCTGTTAGTGACAAGCCACAATTCTGAGCCCCAAGATCATCAGGTTTATATAACCATGCATATCCAAGTGTCCTTAATCTAACTATTTGCCTTAACTTGTTCCAAGATGGCAGTGTCCAGTTTTTAAAAATCATTTGGATCTATATTTGCAAAAAGACAGCACTGATTTTCACATATCTCTAGTGGATATCTTTTTACAGTGTACTGTACTGAAAATACAACATGACAGAGGATTTGTTTCACTATATAAAAAACAAACATAATTTTGGTAGAAACTAAGTTTTTAAAATAATAATTTCGGGGCCCTGGATTCATGGGGCATTGCAGTTAATTGGCCTCAGATATGTTTTTAGTGGTTCTGCTCTACCTCTTAGTCATTGTGTACATTGTGCCTGGAACTGTTAAAGCTTCTATGCAACCATCTGAGGTACAGTTGGTCTCTAGTCACCTAAAGCAACAGAAAAAGGAGTCAGGGAGAGGAAGAGGAAATGGGATGCATGACTAATAGTCTCCATGAGCAACTACCTCCTTTGCCTTGAGACCAGAGCAACTGGATGGTGCCTGGCTACCATCACTGAACATTCTGATCAAAGATTCCATAGATGATTCCTGATGGAAAAAGGATAGATACAGAACAGAATTTCAAATTAGCATATACTCCAGACTTTCTGGAGCCAGAGAGACTGGATGAACCCTTAAAATAATCTGTAAACCTTAAACCGAAACTATCCCCTGAAGTCTTTTTAAAGCCAAATAGTAGTCTAGCGTCTTGCTGTTAAGTGTCATCGAATCAGTTTTGACTCATTACGACCCTGAATAGGGTTTCCAAGGAGCAGCTGGTGAGCTTGAACTGCCGACCTTGTGGTTCAAACCGACCTTGCAGTCTAACGCATTAATCCGCAATATCTGCCTTGATCATTACGCTCTTTTGAAAACTGAATGGGATAAAACCTAGCCCAGGTAGCACAGTGGTTAAAGCACTCAGCTACTAACCAAAAGGTTGATGGTTTGAATCCGCCAACCAGTTCTGTAAAGATTTATAGCCTTGAAACCCTATGGGGCACTTCTCCTCTGTCCTTTAGTGTCCCTATGAGTTGAAATTGGCCGGGCAGCAGTGGGTTTGGCTTTGAGTATATGGGATCAAAGTGATCACAGCAAGTGGAAAGATTGACTAGGAACCTTAGGGGGCAGTGCATTTATGTTAATAGGGGATAAGAAGCTCAGAAAAGGAGGGTGAGGATGGTTACATGCTCGAAGAATGTAACCTCTGTCCCTGAATTGTGCATATAGAAGCTGTTGCATTGAGGTGTTTTGCCATGTATATTCTCAACAACAAAATCAGCTTCAGAAAAATGCCACTCTCACATTGCTATTATAAAAGAATAACTCTGTTTTTATGCTTAACTGCATTTTTAACTGGAGAATGTAGCATTCTTAAAAAATGTTAACATTCATATCTTCCTCCAGTGTTTGCTTAATAAACTTAATACACAATTTTATACTGACACAACTTTTTAAGCTCTTACAACAGAAGCAGATGGTAATTTTTAAATATAAATTCTGGCATTCATGCTTAGTTTTCATAATCCTTCTATTCTTAAATACATGGACTAGGAATCGCATATTAGGAGCCACATCGAGGGAAGGAGGGCTCATGAAGAATGAGACTGTCCCTGCCCTCAGGGATTTTTGTACCAAAGACTCGGTTAGTAGAGTCAAATATCACTGAAAGGTGGACGGTTGAGGAGAGCTCTGGCAACTCTAAGCCTTCTCATTGAGCAAAAGAAGGTGGCATTTGAGCAACATCTGAATGAGTTAAATCTTTTAGTCATTCTCAAGGAGGTCTGAGAAACAAGAAACACAAAATGTTCTAAAGAGCAAACCTTAAAGTTAAACCTTCTTCCCTTCATGTCCCTCCACCTTTGTCAGCACCCTACAATTTTTCCTCCTTTCTCTCCATCTCTTCAGGTCCAAATTCTATGTGATATGATCTTATTTCTCTTAACATCAGTGCCTAAAATGCACTGAATGTATTGAAGGCCAGATGTTTATTGAGGAATATCAGTTCCTACGAGAATTTCTCCGAATCAGTGTGTGTGTATGTGAAGAGCTCAGCAATGAATCAGACTGTGCCCATGTCCTGAAATCCATCAGTTTCTTTACCGTGATTGCACCATAGCTACAGCACTGTGCTGCTCAGATTGTCTCCACAGATTTCACCTGAAGGATGATTGCATTCAATGAGCTTAGTAGAAGCAAGCACATAGCAACAGAATTGAGTCTAAGACATATTTGTTATATAAAGATTGTTCTTTCAGCATTGTAGACTATTGACCAAAATGGAGAGAATCTGAGGAGAAATCAGTTTAGAGGCTAATGCTATAGACCAAACAAAAGATAACAAGGCTCTAAATGAAAGGAATCTGGTGTGGCTCTGTGGATTAATGCGCCGGTCTGCAAAGTTCCTTTGAACCATAAGGTCAACAGTTCTAGCTCACCAGTCGCTCCTTGGAAACCCTGTACAGGGTCGCTATGGTCAGAACCAACACAACAGCACTTCACAACAACAACAACAACAAAAGAAAATGGAGGAAAATAGGAAAAAGATTTTTAAAAGGATTCGTAAATTCAGTTGTTGTTGTTTTACACCATCAAATTGATTCTGACTCATAATGACCCAATATAATAAAGTAGAACTGCCCATGGGGTTTTCTAAGCTACAGTCTTTATGGGGGGCAGATCTCTAAGTCTCTCATGTGGAGTCACTGGCTGGGTTCAAAGCGCTAATCTTTCACTTAGTAGTTAAACGTTTCACCATTGAGCAACCAAAGCTCCTTCATAAATACAGTAGTTAAAACTTAATGAACTGTCCAGTGTCAACATTTCACCAGAAGTAGGAAGCTCTGGACACTGGTTATTTAGTAGTGGTCTCTTACCACCTGGCAAGTGTGGCCTTTGATGACCCTTTAACTCTTCCTCAATTTCCATAAGAATGTAGAATGGAGATGATACCTCCTGGGTTACCGTAAAGCTCAGAGGAGAAAAAGTATCTGGATTCATTTAAGAAATTACTAAGTATAACTAATGCTTAGTACAAAGTTGGTTTGAACTACAAGGTTGGTAGTTCAAGCTCACCAGCCACCCCTCGGAAATCCTATACAGGATCACTGTGATCAGAACTGACTCGACCATTGGCACTTAGCAACAACATTAGCTTAAACACACAAGTGATGATAAGGGTGGCAGTGGATGATGATGTGGAGATTAGGATGCAAACAGCTCCCATTTATCAAGCTGGCCAGCTCCTATGCTGAGTGCTTTTCTCCGATTATAGCCCTGAAGCATCTTGATAGATTTAGGTACACAAAACTATTATTTCTATTATACAGATGGGGACACTGCGACTTAAAGTTTAAGTAACTTGACCATGGTCAAACAGCTAGTGAATGAATGATACTTCAGTTATTGTGGTTACTATTGGAAAACACTTCCCCCGTCCCCCCTTCAGTCATAACTTCTGTGCTTTGGAAAGGCTTGAGGGCAGTAGTACATTTCTCAAGATCTTTAAAAGTCTGAGTAGGATTTTAAATGTATACTTTAATTGTGTGCTTAGATAAGCCCTGGTTACTTACACACACACACACAAGATAAGGTTTATTATAATATTTTAAACTCTTGTATTTCAGGCCCATAAAAAGAGGGGATATTTTGCCCCCAGAAAAAGGTCGAGAAGTTGCAAAGGAACTGGGCATACCATACTATGAAACGAGTGTATTTGACCAGTTTGGAATCAAGGACGTGTTTGACAATGCTATCCGAGCAGCCCTGATATCCCGCCGACACTTGCAATTCTGGAAATCCCACTTAAAGAAGGTTCAGAAACCTTTACTTCAGGCACCATTCCTACCTCCAAAAGCCCCTCCACCGGTCATCAGAATCCCCGAGTGTCCCTCCACCTGGACGAATGAAGCTGCCTGTTTACTGAATAATCCTCTGTGTGCGGACGTCCTGTTCATCCTTCAAGACCAGGAACACATCTTTGCACACCGAATTTACCTCGCTACCTCCTCTTCCAAATTTTACGATCTTTTTTTAATGGAATGTGAAGAATCCCCAAACTTGGGTGAAGTACCTTGTGAGAGAGAGAAGCAAAACAGGGATTTCCAGCGGTGGGCTTTGAGTCTTGGAATGGATAAGGAAAAGGAGGAGGGCACCCCAAGGACACCTCAGGCAGATCAGTGGAAGTCCTCAAGTAATGATGTGTTGGAGACGCTTTGTCTGGAGGCTGAGGACTCAGTTCCAGAGACACAGGCTTTGTCAAGTTGGAGTAAGGGTTTCATTGGCATGCACAAGGAAATGCAAGTCAACCCCATTTCAAAGCGGGTGGGCACCATAACTGTGGTCAGGATGGACTCTTCAGTTCAGCCAGGCCCTTTCCGGACCCTGCTCCAGTTTCTTTATACAGGGCAGCTGGATGAAAAAGAAAAGGATTTGATGGGCCTGGCTCAAATCGCAGAGGTCCTGGAGATGTTTGATTTGAGGATGATGGTGGAAAACATCATGAACAAGGAAGCTTTCATGAACCAGGAGATTACAAAAGCGTTTCACGTCAGAAAAGCCAATCGGATAAAAGAATGTCTCAGCAAGGGGACATTCTCAGGTGAGGGGGCCCAGTGACAGAACTTTTGAGATTTTTCATGGATTTTAGTGTATATTTGCCAAACATAATGGGGGGGAAAGGATAACATAGCTAACACAAATGTTTTTCCATGTACTTTACATGAATTAACTTACTTAATTCTCATCAGACAGAGTCAAATATTTTTATCTCTATTTTTCAGATGGGGAAGCTAAGGGACAGAAAGTTAAAGTAACTTGCCCATGGTTACATGAGTAGAAAGTGGTAGAGCCAGGATTTGAGCCCATGATTTTGTGACTGCAGAAACTGCTTCCTAAACCACCACAACTTGTCTGTCAGGTTACCCTTAAGCCTATCTTCAGTCTGTTTGATGGTTACAATTGACCTTCAGGATGCCTTCCCTGAAAAACTCCATTCTCCATTGACCCTTCAGTGCTTACCATGGCAGAAACCAATGGCCTCTGAGGCCATTGAAAGTCTTGATGACCAGATTGATGGCCCCTATATTTGTCGTTCATGCCCCTCTCCTTTTCTCTTCTCAAAATGCTTTGCCCTACTCTTGCCTATTTTTCTTGCCCTTCCTAGTTAATATCTCTGCCGTATGTTGACCACAGTGCCCTTTTGTAATTGCCAAAGCATATTGGTAGCCTGTGTCCAACATGGGTTACTGACTGATGCCTGTTCAGTCTTAGACATGTGGCCCTGTTCATTTTTGTTTTGAAAGCACCATCTGTGTGTGTGTGTGTATGTGTGTTAGTGTATTTCAGTGTAAAAATTTGACTTCCTTACTTCTTTTATATAGACACCTCTGTTTTTGTTTTTATCGTTCATAATGCCTGCCATGGTACTATATATTTAATGTTTACTGAGTCAGCTAATAAATTTTACAGATTACAAGCATATCATTTATTCCAAACTCTGACTATCATAGTGTAGAACTAGTCTTTAAAAAGTTAATTAAAACAAAATGTTACAAACTTACAGTAAATTAAACAATAGACCTTAGAGTTGATTAAATCCTTCTCAACTTACTGCAGAGATATAATAACTAAACTCAGTGTGTATGAGCTTCCTTGACTTCTGTTTTTTTGTTTTGTTTGTTTTAAGGTATAAAATACAATTTAGAAGTCGTTGGAGAAACTTAAATGCAGAGTAGATTGTCTAGACTTAGGGGATTATTATGGTTTGCTTTCTTAGGTATGATATAGTATGGTTATTTTGGGGAATGTTCTGATTTTTAGAAAATTCATGATAAAGTAGGAGCGAATTGTCATGCTGTCTTTAAAGCCACACACACATATAACTATATATAAATACAAATATAATTGAAACAAACATGAAAAACTTATAACAATCATTGCATCTAGGTAATGGGCAAATGGATTTATGTTATAATATTCATTCCACTATTTTATGTGTTTAAAATTTTTCAGAATAAGAAGGAAAAAAATGACTCTCCTCCTTTCTGTTACATTCTGGCTTGGAAAACTTAAGTTGTGGCCTTAAATAAGTGATTCTAAATGATTGCTCATTAATTTTTGGAGAGCAGTGGAGGAGCTGGGTTTGCTGAAGAGGGGAGTTGACAAAAATCAGCAAATAAAGATAGGAAAGAGAGGGAAGGGTTTAGTGAGTAAGAGTGGAACCAAAGCCTGGTTCATGCTCTCATTGCGATTTGCTTATGGCTGTGTTTCCTCAACCCATCGGCAGATGTGACGTTTAAGTTGGACGATGGAGACATCCGTGCTCACAAACCACTCCTGATCTGCAGTTGTGAGTGGATGGCTGCCATGTTTGGAGGGTCGTTTGTGGAAAGCGCCAACAGTGAGGTATGTGCCTTTCTAGAACCTAAATGGTATCTTTATGTATCTTCGTGTGGATTTATATAAATTGTTTAAGTGTTGAAGTAACTTTAATTCTTTAACTACTTTCATGAAATGGTTCTTTAGGCAGGGCTGGAATGTTAGGCTACCTCTTTATTTATTTATTGGTCATTTATTAAATGTGAAGGAGCCCTGTTGGTACAGTGAGTTCAGAATTGCTCTGCTAACGTCCAGGTCAATAGTTCAAATCCACCAACTGCTCCAAGGGAGAAAGATGAGGCTGTCTGCTCCCGTAAAGATTTACAGTTGAGCAAACCCTAGGGAGCAGTTCTGTTCTTTCTTGTAGGATCACCATCAGTTAGAATCACTTCAACGGCAATGGAGTTTTTTTTTAAAAAAATTATTATTATATGTAAGTACCTAAGAACTTTGCGTACAGACTGTCCTTCCATCCTCACAGTTGACCTCTTCCATGAAGATCTGTACTTTTTAAACAAATGTTACAGTGCAGGATACTATCCAACTCAGAGATTTAGATTTTAGAACTCATCTTCCAGAAGTTTCTCGTTGTTGTTGTTAGGTGCCATCAAGTCAGTACTGACCCATAGTGACTCTATGCACTGCAGAATGAAACACTGCCCGATCCTGGGCCAACCTCACTATTGTTGCCGTGCTTGAGCCCATCAATGCTGCCACTTGGCCAATCCAAGTTTAGGAAAGTGAAAAGAGTTTTGGGCACTTAGTCCTGGGCTCAACTCTGTCCAGTGCCAGATGGGAGACCTTAAGAAGCCATATACTTGTGCTTCAGTCTCCTCATCAGCTCGCCTTGGGGGGTTCCCTTAGGAGACGTGACTCCTGAGGCTCTACCACGACTTGCCTCCTCTACTTGAAGGGATACTAGGACTGAGGACCTATTAACTGTAAGAAGAGAGTATGGAGCTAAGCCCCCTCCTCTGAACTACTGAGATGGAGTAGATACAGCAGGACCACCTGGGAGACTGGCTGTGCCCCCCAAAGAAGAGTATTCTTAGCAGGACAGAGTCAGCAGCCTGTCTTGGAGACCCTACATCCTCATCTTTTTACAAGCTCTGTTGAAAAGAGAGGGGGTAGAAAAGTCCATCCAAGCACTTCTACCTTTGGTGTTAGAGTGAGTGAGCATTTTTGCTGGGGTTTTTGGGTATTTTTGAACTATCTTTTTGGAAAACCAGCAACAACAAACAAACATGGAGATACCCCATCAAGTTTATTGTCCTAAGAGGTTTGTTTTGCTTATCTCAATATCTCGCCAAGCTTTTCAAGGAAATACAGAAAACAGTTACTTTTCCAAATGGGTGCGCCATCAGAAGAAACCTGAGCTCTCCCATTGTAACCCAGTAGCCTGCATTTGCATCCACAAGTAGGGAAACAGAATCATACAATCACAAGCATGGGATGTTTGGTGCTTAGAAGGTCATTAGGCCACACTTCTGCTTCCAGAACAAACTACAAGAAAAATGCATTGCCATCTCGTCAGTTCTGGTTCATAGTCACCTTATAGGATAGAGTAGAGCTGCCCCACTGTAGGGTCCCAGAGACTGAACATCTTCATAGAAGCAGACTGCCGCACGTTTCTCTCACAGAACCCCTTTGCCAACCTTTTCCATCAGCAACCGAGTGCTTTAGCCACTGTACCACCAGGGTTTCTTAGAACAAACTGCAACCAACCAACCATAGCAAAGGACTGTCTGCTGTATGGAGAAGAGATGTCAGAAATATTCTGATAACCTCTTCTGATGTCCAGTAACTTTAATAGTTATGAGGTTTTCACCTGGAATGATTGAAGGCTTTCCAGTGTTCTCAGAAGTATTGCCATCTGCAGAGCCTTGTTACCAAGACAAATGGCAGCTTGTAAAAACACAGCCCGTATTTACAAGCTGTGTGAGTTTGAGCAAGTGACTTCACCTCTCTGAGCTCTAGTCTCCTCATGTGGAAAACAGCATATAAGAGTATCCACCGCATTATGTGGTTGTGAGGTGCAAGAGTCAATATTTACAAAGCACATTGTAACGTAAGCATTAGGTACAGTACAGTCTTATCTTGTTGTCAGTGGTTGTGAGGGTATTTTCCTCTCTTACTTGAAAGACAATTTTGGGGTAGTCCCTGACTGCTCCTTGGAAACCCTATACAGGGTCACTATGGGTTGGAATCAAGTTGACGGCACTTGACAACAACAACAACATCTTATTAGTATGAGGATCCTGAGGGGTTGACCCATTGGGCTGCTAACCACAAGATCAGCAGTTCTAATCAGCCAGGCACTTTGTGGGAGAAAGAAGAGGCTTTCTGCTCCTGTAAAGACTTACAGGCTTGGAAATCCTCTCCAGAGTCACTAAGAGTCGTTGGAACACAGTAGCTGATTTGTAGAACTTCATCCAATTTGCATTTCATGGGTTTCTGTAATCTCCAGCGATAAGGAGCTTAGAGACGTGCTTCCCCAGTTCAGTGGACAGTGTGCTGACTGACTCTGCTGCAGAGGGTCTGCTGTTAACCGAGCAGACAGACGTTGATCAGGGTTAGGAAGCCAGGCACAAAGTGACCCTGTCAGAACTGACCTCCCCACTGCTAATCCTCTTCATCCCTTCCCCAAACGGACTGTAATCGTCTCCGGATTAAAGTGCAGCAGGATCACTATGAGTCAGAACCAACTCCAAGGTACTTAACAACAACAACCAAGGTGACCAAACACACAACCTTGGCAGCGAGTGTGAATTCACAGGTGCCAGTCTATGGTTGTTCAGTAACCTGTCCTGGAGATAGTCATATGTTTAACACAGCCTTCTCATATAGTGCTATAGGTTCAGTACTGTACTGCTAACTGCAAAGTCAGTGGTTCAAACCCACCAGGCATGCCTTGGAAACCACATACATGGTGGCTATGAGTCATGGTGGCTATGAGTCCTCAGCAGCAAACACTTACCCAAGAAATACCATGTCCTCACCAATTAGGTCCTGTAAAGCTGAGGCTAATGTTGTTAAGTGCCGTTCCAACCCATAGCCACCTTGTATAGGGTTTCTGAGGAGCGGATGGTGAGCTTGAACCGCTGACCTTGAGGTTCAAACTGATTTTGCAGTCCATCGCATTAACCCACAGTGCCACACCAGGGCAGATTCAGCTTCAGGTAAGCTTAAAAGACAAAGTCCAAGGAATAAAGTAATGGAGTGCCTAGGCTAAAATTCCTTTAGCAAATCTATTAAGAATGCCAGGAGCCAGTGAACTATAAACTTCAAAATGGTTAAAATAGCAAATCTTATGTTGTAACTCTTAAACTGTATAAAATGGTAGCTGCACGCTCTTATCTCATGCCTGTCTAGCTTGACCTTGGGTAAGCCACTGATTCTCACTTAAGCACCAGTTTCCTCAGTCTGTAATATGAGGATAACAAGGGAAGCTTCCTCAAAGAGTGGACATGCAAATGCTCAGTACATGGTAAACGATCCTCATGACATTGTCGTTACGTGCCATTGAGTCAGTTACGACTCATAGTGACACTACACAGGTTTTCCAGGGGTCGGCTGGTAGCCTCAAAGTGCTGGCCTTGTGATTAGCAGTCCAGTATTTATCCTAATTCTTGTTAAATTATTTCTAGGGCAGGTGAAACATTGCCCCCTCAAATCCTGTTTAAAAGCCCCCAAGCCCCTTTCTAAACCCAGGAAAGCGTAGTAGAAGTGGTCATGGGGATAGGGTGGAGCATTCAGTGACTGCTCAATAAATACTCCATGGTGGACTGAGGCCTGTGTTCACACTTGACATTTGCCCTTTACAGACCACTTTTAACTCTTTATTGCCTTGTGAAAAATCTGTCTATTGTGGCCTTAATAATAATAGAAATCACACTTATACCCAGAAAGGAATAAAACATTCCCATTGCTGTTACTTTAACATTTTTTGTCCTTTAATAGTCAAGAAGACACTGTATTTTACTTCTATTCGTCTCATTACTTTTAATGTAGCAGTAAACAGAATCCTCTCTCCAGAGGCACGCTACAAGTGGCTCATTACAAATACATGTTGGGGTTATAGTAAGCAATACTCTGGATCAAGAACACTTTCTCATTCTTTACCTGACCATCTCTAATTATAAGCCTAGTAGTCTGTGCTGATCTTAGCAATTAAAAATTTAAACCTGCTAAACTGGAATATGGAACATTGTTGAGGGTTGTTTTCACTCATTACTTTGTTTTCCTTTTTTCTTCTTCTTCTTCTTCTTCTTTTAAGCTGCCTCTAACTGGTAGTATGCAAACTTCTTAATTTAATTTCTTCATTTATATATTATTTTTAAAGTACTGTAAAATGTTCTCTCTTCTGTTATAAATGTAATTATAAAATGTGAAAGTGCAGAAACAGGCTTTTTAAAGAAATCAAGGCACGCAAAGGAAATGTATGTTCTAAATGTATTGTCAACTTCTTTTCTTTCACTGATTAATTCTAAGAGTCCCTGAAATTATATGCCCAAAAGAATCATAGCTTTAAAAAAAAAAATGATATAGTTTTGTTAAGCAAGAAGAAACAGTAGGTCATGGGTGATTACAGACGTCAGCATACTCCAAGTTTGCTGGAAGGATTGGAGCAGAGCCACTTACTGGAATCTGTCATCCCCTGCTGCCAGAAATAATTTCTTTTAACTTAGGATGTCCGTTTTACCATTTGTATTTCTAATAAACATTATCTTTTTTTAAGCAATGACTTAGCATATACTTCTGCCAAAAATAGTTAAAGGTAATCTCTTCTTGTTGTAGGTTTTGAGTGCTGTTTAGTCCGTTCCAACTCACAGCAACCCTGTATAGGGTTTCTGAGAAGTAGCTTGTAGTTTGAACCACTGACTTTGTGTTTAGCAGTTCAGTCCTTATCCTACAGTGCCCACACCAAGACTCCAAAATCTTAGTCTCTCGGTGAAAAAGAAAAAAGCTTTAGATAATAGCTCTTCCAAACTCCTGTCATATAACAGAGGATGACTTTGAAGGTCAGAGAGGTTGAGTGATTTGTCAGAAGTCACACAGTATTTTAGTGCTATATCCTCAGACCTGACTCAGACTTTGGCCCTATCGCACAAGCCATAGTTCAGAAGCAGTAGCCATTTCTGTGTTTATGAGAGGAAGCTCTGGGACTTCTTATATTAGCAATCACTAATACTTTACAGCACTCAGCAGTTTGCAAAATGCATTTCCTCTATCAAAATGGTTCATCTTTCAAAGATTCACAACTTAATTAACCTTCAATTTTCAGGAAAACTATACAAATCTAAACACCATTCTAGAGAAATGAAATTTTGCCAGCTGTTCATACACACAAATGAGTTTATGTGGGTGTCTGTAAATATCATCATGTCTGTACAAGTATAAAGTAAGTGTCTGCACACATAAACATACATGGATGTAAGCAAGTATAACTGATGTGAGGTTCACTTTAAGAGCAATTAATTTTTTTTTTTTTTTTTTTTTTTGCTGCTTCTGTTCCCTTTTATTAGAGATTCATGGTTAACAGGCATTTAAGGAACACCATATATAGATAAGGCGAACAAAGCTAAACTTGTTGGGAAGAGCAATTAATTTTTCATATGTAGATACAGCGGGTTGAGGAAGAGGAACATTACAACATCTGTGTATTGCAGATGATCAACATGAACAGCCATCTCTTTACTCTTAAAATAATGTCAGTGACAGCTTCCATTTTCTAAGGTCTATGTGTCATAGAAGTTGTGCTCCAAATGTGAAATAACCACACTTATCAGATCGTTTATAGTAATGACCTATTCAGCTTATTTGTAGAATCAAAATTGTTACTCTCACTGACTGTATATGAAAGGGATTGTTTTAATGACCCTTTAGGACGTACCTCTAGCGGATTGATAGGGCATTCCCTCTCTGAAGTAGCTGGTGACTGGACGGGAGAGCATGGGATGCTGCTGTGGCTTACAGAAGTCTAGAACCTCACTACTAGAAGCTGCTTGTAGAAAGAGTGTGATTTCTTTCTTTCTCTCTCTCTCTCACTACTTATCTATCTAGCATCTTTCTACACACATATACACATATATATACAAATACACTATACTACTGTTGTTAAGTGTCATCCAGTCAGTTCCAACTCATAGCAGCCTTATGTAAGATTTCCAAGGAATGGCTGGTGCATTTGAACTGCTGACCTTGTGGTTAGCAGTCCAGTGCTTATCCTACAGCACCATACCTGGATTCCATATATATATATATATACACATATATATGCATTACATATACATTCTTTATTGCATTATATACATATTATGTACATAATACTATCCATAGTTTGTGGTTCTGTAGGATAAGCACTGACCCACAAGAGTGTTTGGACTGCAGGGTTTGCAGTTTAAATCCACCAGCCACTCCTCAGCAACCCTATAAAAAAGGGTTGCAGTGCTCAAGGCACTTAACAACAACAACAACAACAAACTTAGTAGTGTATGGAGTCCTAGTGTGGCAATGTAGGATAAGCATTGGACTACCAACCACAAGGGGGTCCTGGTGTGGCACTGCGGGTTAATACGCTGAACCGCAAGGTCGGTTTGAACCACAATTCTGTTGTTCAAGCTCACTAGTCATTCCTCAGAAACCCTATACACAGTTGCTGTGAGTTGGAATTGACTTGACGGCACTTAACAACAACAACTAACCACAAGGTCAGCAGTTCAAGTCTACCATCTGTTCCTTGGAAATCCTATACAGGGACACTATGTAGGGACCGACTTGACGTACATAACAACAATAAAGATTTATCGTGTGTATATGTGTAATGAAGGAGCCTTGGTACCATAGTAGATTGAGAGCTGGGCTGCTAATCACAAGGTCAGCAGTTCAAATCTGTCAGTCCCTTCGTAGGAGAAATATGAGGCTTTCTCCAGTAAAGATTTGTTGTCATTAAATGCCTTTGAGTTGGTTCTGACTCATAGCGACCCAGTCAGGATGACTATGAGTCAGAACTGACTCGATGGCACACAGCTATCACCATCACCACATATATTCTATATACATATATACACCACGTATATACTATATACACATATACACCACATATATTCTATATACACATATATACCACATATATACTATATACATATATACACCACATATATACATATATACACCACACATATGCTATATACACCACATATATACTATATACATATATACACCACATATATACTTAGTATATACTAAGGAGCACGGTGGCTCCATATGATTAGCTCTGTACTGCAAACCACAAAGTCCACAATTTGAGCCTATCAGCCACTTCCTGGGAGAAAGATGAGACTTTCTGCTCCCACTAAGATTTAAAAGTCTTGGAAATCCTATACAGAGTCACTGTGAGTCAAAACCAACATGACAGAACTAAACAATAACAAAATAATAGCAACAGCAAAAAGCAATCCATTTTATATATAATGCTTTATATGTAGACGTTTATTTATAAAGTATTAGAAATAAGTTTATAATGGTTCATCCCTTTGTTCTTAAAAATCTCATTCTTAAAAATATTAGTGACCCATGGTGATGGTGGTTTGTTGTACCATAACCCAAATCTTTACTTCCTTACCATTAAGGATTTCTAGTACAGCACAGTGGTTAGGAAATAGATTTTTAAATTATATTCTAATTCTTGTCACTACATACTAGCTCTATGACTTGGGACATGGAACTTAACCTCCCTGAACTTCAGTTTCCTTGTCTGTAAAATGAAAAGAAATATAGTGCCTTCCTCTAATGGAGGGTATAAGGATCATATTAAACCATTCATGTAGCATGCCTAGCACAGGGCCTAGTATATACAAGGCCTTCAACTAAGATGGCTTTTTATAGACATTGCTATTCCAATAATAAGTGCCAGTGATAACCAGTCTTGGCATACCAGGGCCGGTTTCCTGGAGCCATTTACAGCTATATAGAGAGGATGTTCTACAGGAACATCCCCATTGGCCCATGCCCAACCCTCTAGAACTCTTGTACCCAGGTACTACAGATACTTGGGAGAGAAAATGATGCAGGAATCTTATTCAGCATACCCAACAAACTGCTCCCTCATTTGTCTTAAGAAAAGATTCTTTTGGATTCTGTGAATCTCATATTTGATAATGTTCCATTCATTCTGTATTTTTGTGGTTGTACCATAGGAGTTAAGGAGCTCTGGTAGCATAGTGGTTACAAATTGGGCTGCAAATCATAAGGTCAGCAGTTTGAAACTACCAGCTGTTCTGCTGGAGAAAGAGGAGGCTTTCTGCTCCCGTAAAGATTTACAGCCTCGGAAACCTTGTACAGGGTTGCTATGAGTCAGAACTGATTCCACAGCACATAACCACCAACAACCACCACCATAGGAGATAGGAACATTTGTATTTCATTCTAGAATATTCTGATGATGATGGTGGTGGTATGCCCTTGAGTCGATTCTGACTCGTAACGACCCTATGTAGGGTCTCTGAGCCTCACCTTTCTTTCACCAAGCACCTGCTGGATTCAGACTGCTGACCTCAAGGTTAGCAACCCAACATGTAACCCACTATGCCAATTGGGAGAATAGAATATTCTGAAGGAACATCAAAATCAAGCTCTCATTGTGGCAACTAAGACTGTTGCTTGTGCCCTGTTTTGACAACTAAGAGAGCTGGACTGCATCATGTGTCAGCAACAGTGTGGTTTGCAGCTCCTCCAACACCTGTCATGTTGCTAGGAGATTTCTTTTCCCACAATAGACAATTACATTGTACTTGGCAAGGAGCACCCATAATGTTATCATACATTTACAGCCATTTGTCTGATTTATAAGTCCAATAGTCATTTTAAAATTCCAAATCAGGCTTTGTCAGACAAGCTAACTCTTTTATCATCTACAAATCAAACTGTTAATGTTTGAAGCTGTAAATAGTCAGGCACTCCGAGGCCCTGATGTCTGAGACTCACCAATATCAGCTCATACGGTTGGGGTATTTAAAAGCAGCGTAACTTGGAATGTGCACACTTTTTGATTTCTTTAGAAGATCTTAACTTTTCAAATAACATTGCAGGTCTATCTCCCAAACATAAACAAGATGTCAATGCAGTCAGTTTTGGATTACCTCTACACCAAGCAGTTGTCACCTAACTTGGACCTGGACCCACTGGAGTTAATCACCTTGGCAAACAGACTTTGCCTGCCACACTTGGTTGCACTTGCAGGTAAACCTTATGACTCGGGGCCATTCAGTGTATGACTTTCATATTTCTCAAAATTACACGTAAGCAAAAATAAGATTTCCAGGGAATGAAAATAATCTGTTTTTCTTTACCCCAAAAACAATTGTTTTGTTAAGGATACTGTGAATTAAAGTCATTTGAAGCAGAAGTCAAGAAATCAAATGCTGTATTGCATTTGGCAAATCTGCATGGGACCTCTTTAAAGTGTTCAAGAGCAAAGATGTCAGTTTGAGGACTAAGGTGCGTCTGACCCAAGCCATGGTATTTTCAGTATCCTCATATGCAGGTGAAAGTTGGACAGTGAATAAGGAAGACCGTAGAAGAATTGATGCATTTGAGTTATGGTGTTGGAGGACAATATTGAAAGTACCGTGGATAGCCAACAGAACAAATAGATGTATGTTGGAAAAAGTACAGCCAGAATTCTCCTTGGAAGCCAGGATGGCCAAACTTCATCTCTCATGCTTTGGACATATTGTCAGGAGGGACCAGTCACTGGAGAAGGATATCATATTTGGTAAAGTGGAGGGTTAGAGAAAAAGAGGAAGACCCCCCTAGCGAGATGGACTGACACAGTTGCGGCAGCAGTGGGGCACAAACATAGCAAGGATTATGAGGTTTGCCCAGGACCAGGCATTGTTTCATTCTGTTGTACATAGGGTCACTATGAGTCGATACTGACTCGATGGCACCTAACAACAACAACAATATGAACTGATCAAATGTATAAGAGAGCCCAGTTCATATCAACAAATATTTCTTAAGCATGTACTTTGTGATATCCTCTGTTAGATGATGCAAATATAAAGATGAATAATGCATGACCCCAGCCCTCAAGGGCACACACTATATGCACCTGGGATCATTCTGGGCCACTGAATCTGAAGTAAAGCTATTCTTACCCACATAATGTGTGCTCAGAGGCAGTCTTTAAGAAAATGGCAATAGAATGCCCTGGTTATAAGCCCAGGCTGCCAAGCCCAACTGTCTAGATTGAAATGTTTAGCTGGTTGGTTTTGTAATGTTCTTAACCACTGTGTGTTTCAGCATTCTCTCTCTTTTAAACAGCAACAGTTTTACTTAACATAGAGTTTTTATGATGATTACATGAGTTAAAATAAATAAAATGTCCTTAGAAACACTGTCTGGCACATAGTAAGTATTATGTAAGTGGCTTTCTTAAAGCTATTTTAGAAAATGTTCTGACATGGTTAAAGTCATTTTGGGGGAAAAAAAAAAAGGAGATTTGGCTTAACTTGCCAAAGTCTAGATTGGTTCATTTGCTAAGGTAGAGCAGGTCTGTAAAGCAGGGGTAGGGAACATCCGGTTCACCAGCCAAATAATGCCCTCGAAATCATTTGGTCTGGCCCTGCCAGGGCAACTGCAGTTCCAGCCATCACAGTTGTGGTTGTCAAGTGCTGTCAGACTCATAGTGAGCCTGTATAGGGTTTCTGAGGAGCAGCTGGTGAGCTTGAATTGCCAACCTTGTGGTTCCAACCAACCTTACATTACATTACATTCTAGCACATTAACGCACAGCACCACACCAGGACTCCCTAAGTATACTTAATGGTGTTAATAAGTGGTGTTATTACTATTAGGGTTATGTAATGTACAGCTTCCCAGTGATGCCCTTAATCATTTATAGTTTGATGTGGTCTACAACATTGTTACTATTAAGTACCAGACATAGGGTCATTTTCGATTCTTAGCAACTCCTCATAAGGTTATCTTGGCTGTAATCTTTATAGAAGCAAACTTCTAGGTCTCATAGTGCTTAAAAATCAGTTTGTGGGGTGAAAACTTGCTGTAAATTAAAGCATGAAGTGAATTATCAAGAAATATTACAAAATAGGAAACCTCACACTTCCCAATTTCAAAACCGCTTAGCAACAACATTTGTTAAAGAAAGGATTTCTCCCTCATTTAATGGACTCTTGCTCATATTGTTGTTAAGTGTCGTCAAGCTGGTTCCAAATCATAGCAACCTTGTGTAGGGTTTCCGAGGAATGTCTGTTAAGTTTGAACTGCCTACACTGTGTTTAGTAGTCCAGTGCTTATCCTGCAACACCACACCAGTCCTTTAATACATGGTGCTGACTAAACTTGATATCCATTTGTAGAAAACGTAAACAGGATCCATTCCTCTGACTATATACAAAAACTGATTTAAAATGTATCTTAAAGACCTAAATGTAAAACCTAAACCTATGAACTTCATGGAAGAAAACATAGGAACAAACCTTGTTGTTGGTGTGAATACCATTGAGTCAGTTTCAACTCACAGAGATCCCATATAAGGTTTCCAAAGAGCCGCTATCTAGTGAGCTTGAACCACCAATCTTACAGTTCAAACCAGCCTTGTAGTCCAGTGCATTAACCCTCAGTGCCACATTTATAGCATGAGTAAACTACCAAATATATCTAAATATGCACAAACAGTAGACTATAGATAATTGGGACCTTTTAAAAAATGAAATACTTATTCATCACAAAACTTCATTTTAAAGAGTAAAAAGAGAACCTACCAACTGGATGGAAATTTTTGGCAACAGACGTATATTTGACAAGGGTCTAATATCTAAAATGTATTTAAACATTTAAACACCTTAGCAACCAAAAGACAAATGGTTCTGTTTAAAAATGAGCAAAGGACACAGATACTTCACCAAAGAAGACATTCAGACCCCTAATAAACACATGAAAAATATTTGTGATCATTAGCCATTAAATCGAAACAAACTCACTGCTCTCGTCAATTACAGCTCATAGCAACAATGACTACAAGTCTTTATTGAAGTAGACAATCTCATTCTTTTTCCCTCAGAGCAGCTTTTGGGCTTGAACCAGCAGCCTTACGGTTAGCAGTTCTGTGCTTAACCTACTGCACACCAGGGACCCTTTATCAGCCTTTGTTGTTAGATGCCCTCCGATCGGTTTTGACTCAGAAACTCTATGCACACAGACCTCAGCACTGCCTAGTCCTGTGTCATCCCCACAATGGTTCTATTTGAGTTCATTGTTGCTGCTACTGTGTCAATCCATCTTATTGAGGCTCCTCTGCTGTACCAAGTCCTTGTCCAGGGACTCATCCCTCCAGACAACACGTCCAAAGAACAAGAGACAAACTCTCACCATCCTCAATTCTAAGGAACATTCTGAATATGCTTCTTCCAAAACATATTTGTTCTTCTGGCAATCCAAGGTACTTTTGATATTCCTCCTCCCCTACATCATAATTCAAATATATGTATTCTTCCTTTTGTCCAGTGTTCACAGGCATATGAGGCCATGGAAAATGCCATGACTTGGGTCAAGCACGCCCTGTTAGGCTTCAAACTGACATCTTTGCTCTTTAGCACTTGAAAGAGGTCTTTTTCAGATTTGCCTAATGGAATGTATCCTTTAATTTCTTGGCTATGGTTTCCTTGAGCCTTAAGAAATTGTAGAGTCAAGCAACATGAATAACAACTTCAGTCTTTTCTCTGCTTATCTTGCTATTTATTAATCCACTTGTGAAGTTTTTCAGTTTCTTTTACATGAGATGCAATTCATACTGAAGACTCTAGTCTTTGATCTTAACAGTAAGTATTCCGAGTCCTCTTCACTTCCAGCAAGCAAGGTTGTGTCATATGCATACAAGTTGTTCAATGAATTTTCCTCCAATCCTGATGCCACGTTCTTCTTCATATAATCCAGCTTCTTTGATTGTTTTGCTCAACATACAGATATAGTGAAAGGATACAACCATGACACACACCTTTCCTGATTTTGAACCATTCAGTATCCTCTTGTTCTGTTCCAACCTGTCCTCATGAGCACAATTAAGTATTCTGTAATTCCCATTCTTTACAATGTTACCCATAGTTTGTTTTGACTCACACAGTAGAATGTCTTTGCATAGCCAATAAAGTACAAATATACATCTTTCTAGTTTTCTGTGCTTTCATTCAAGTTCCATCTGTCACCAACAATGGTATACCTAGTTCCACAACCTCTTCTGAATCAGGCATATTTCTTCCAGGTACTTTAGCTTCTCTGTGTTCAAGAGCAAATCTCAGAGTCTCTTCTGACATCCATGTCAGTCTTTTTTTCTCTTCTACTTGCCTGTTTAATGTATGATGTTCTTGAAAGTCATCCCACAACTCCTTTGGTCTTTGGTCATTAGTGTCTACTGGATCAAATCTGTTCTTGGGATGTTCTCGATTCAGGTGGGATATACTCAAGTTAATACTTGGTTCTCATGTACTTATTGTAATTTTATTCATGTTGAGCCTGAACTCGCATATGAGCTAATTTGATAGTCTGTTCCACAGTCGGCCCCTGACCTGGTTATAGCTGATGATATTGTGCTTCTCCATCATCTCTTCCCATATGTGTAGTCAATTTGAGTCCTGTGTATTCCATCTGATGAGGTTCATGTGTATAGTTGCCACTTATTTTGTTTCACAGGTATTTGCATTGAATAGGTCATTGGTCTTGCAAAATTCTATCATGTGGTCTCCAGCATTGTTTCTATCACCAAGACCGTATTTTCCAACTTATGAATGCTTCCTCTTTGTTTCCAACTTTTGTATTCCAATCACAGTAATTATCACTGCACCTTGACTACATGTTTAATCAACTTCAGACTGAAGAAGATGGTGAAATTCCTGCATTTCAGCACCTTTGGCTGTAGTGTTGGTGCTTCATAGTCCTTATAGGTATATGGATAGTATCCTATCACAGACGGCACAATACTTCAAGAGAGATCGTGAAATGCTCTTATTGAAGTGCATGCAACACCTTTCCTCTTCAGTTTGTCATTCCCAACATAATCATGATTGTTGGATTCAAAATGGCTAGTTCTAGTCCATTTCAGCTCACTGATATCTAAGACATTGATCTTTGTCTGTTCCATTTCATTTTTCATGACTTTGAAATTTCCTAGCTTCACATTTTGTGCATTTCACATTCCCATTATTAGTGGATGTCTGCAGCTGTTTCTACTCATCTTGAGTTGTGCCCTAGCGTCAGTCAACTTGACTTTGAAGAGGCCACTCTCAGTCATATTTTGAGTGCCGTCCAATCTGATGGGCTCAAATGTCAGCACTATATCAGACAATGCTTTGCTGCTGTTAATACGGTTTCCAATGACTAAACTTTCTGAAATGGTTTACCTCTCCTTCTTCCTACTCTGTCTTGGTCTGGAAGCTTAGCTGAAATTTATCCATTTTGGGTGCCCCTGCTGGTATTTAAAATATCAGTAATTTAGCTTCCAGCATCACAGCAACATACAACCCACCACAGTCCAACAAACTGACAGATGCGTGGTGGCCTGTTAGCCGTTAGAGAGGGGCGTATCAAAACTACAATGGGATACCATCCTGCCTCAACATTAATAGCATTAATTTTTTTAAAAAAGAAAGGAAAAAAAACCAAAACAAATACTGGCAGCTCTGTGGGGAGACTGGAACTGTATACAGTACTGATGAAACTACAAAATGATACAGCCACTATGGAAAACAATATGGTGCATCCATAGAAGGCAGAAATAGAAATACCTTATGATCCAGAAATCCCACTCATATGTTTGTATCCTAGAGGACTAAGAGCTGTGACACTAACAGATATATGTACACCAATGTTTATCACAGCATTATTCACAATAGCAAAAAGATGGAAACAACCTTAGTGTTCCTCAATGGATGAATAGATAAGCAAACTGTAATACATAATACAGTAGAATACTATACAACAGTAAAAAATAATGATGAATCCATAAAACTCACAATATGTATTAATCTAGTGGACATCATGCTGAGTGAAGTAAATAATCACAAAGGATAAATAGTGTATGAAACCACTATTATAAAAAGTCAAGAATAGATTTACACACAGAAAAAAATATTCTTTGGTGGTTCTCAAGGATGAAAGGGAGGGATATTCAGTAACTAAATACTTGTTGTTAAGTGCTATCAGGTTGGTTCCAACCCATAGAGACACTGTGTAGGATTTCCTAGGAGCAGCTCATGAGCTTGAACTGCCGACCTTGTGGTCCAAACAGTCCAGCGCATTAACCCACAGCGCTGCCACCCCAGAACTCCATGCACGAGTGATAATTCTGGTGAAGGGAAAGGCAGTATACAGTATGGAAGAAGTCAGCATGACATACGGCACTGTAGAGTAAGCACTGGAATTCAGGGTCAGTTTGAACCACAAGGTGGTCAGCAGTTCAAACTCACCAGCTACTCCTTGGGGGCTCTATGTTGTTGTTAAGTGCCATTGAGTCAGGTCCAACTCACAGTGACCCTGTATAGGGTTTCTGAGCAGCATCTGGTGAGTTTGAATCACCAATTTGTGGTTCAAACTAACTTTGTGGGCTGGTACTTACCTACACTACCACACCAGGACTCCTGGAAACTCTATACAGGTCACTATGAGTCAGAACTGATTTGATGACACTTAACAACAACATATAGAAATACCTACAACCTGTATATGTACACAGCTATATACCCATATGACCCCCCCCTCACTTATTTATCATACATATTTACCTATGTATCTACTCACAAATTATTGTTTGTTATTACTGTTGTTTCAGGATTATATATGTTATAGCATTTATTGTTGGTGTTGGTGTTAAGTGCCATCAAGTCAGTCCCGACTCATGGTGACCCTGTATAGGGTTTCCAAGGAGTGGTTGGTGGGTTTGAACCGTCAACCTGTGGTTAACACTTCAGTGTGTACCATAAAGTACCACAATATCTAAATGGGCCATGTATACTCGTAACGAGAGGGCACAGTTATAGAAACACCTTGTACTCAGGACTGAATTACTGGACTTGAAGGCTTAAGTCCACAGATTCATGGACTTCAGGTCATTTGGCTAAACATAGTTCATAAGACTGGTGAGTAGCATCTGGGATCTTAAATGCTTGCAAATGACCATCTAAGAAGCCACTATTGGTCCCTTCCCACCTGGATCCAAAGAGGATGACAAAAACAAACAATAAAAGGATGCCTTTAGTCCAAAGGAGTCCTGGTGTGGCGCTGTGTGTTAATGCACCAGAGTACAAAGCATTTGAACTGCAAAGTCAGCAGTTCAAGCTCACCAGCTGCTCCTCGGAAACCCTATACAGGGTCACTATGGGTCAGAACCGACTCGACGGCACTTCACAACAACAACATTAGTCCAAAGGACTAGTGTCCCACATGACCCACAGTTTTCTCTAACCTAAGACCAGGAGAACGAGGTGGTGTCCTGCTACCACTCCAAACCACTCTGACCAGGACCTCAATAAAAGGGCCTGGTCAGAGTGAGTAAAAAATGTAGAACGAAATTCAAAATTTTATTTTTTAAAAAGACCAGAATTACAAATCTGGCAGAGACTGGAGGAACCTCTGAGATGATTGTCTAAATCACCCTTCTAAGTTGAAACTCAAGACACTCTCAGAGGTCACTTTTCAGCCAAATGATGCTGTTGATGTTGTTAAGTGTTGTCAAGTCAGTTCAGCTCATAGCAACCCTGTATAGGGTTTGCAAGCAGTTGCTGGTGGGTTTGAACTGCCAACCTTGTGGTTAACAGTTCAATGCTTATCTTACAGCATCACAGCAGGACTCCATAATAGATGAGCCAATTAAATAATCAATAGCACCTCTAAAGACTGTGATCCTTACAACAGTCAGCCATGTAAGACCAAAAAGGCAACATTCCAAAACCACAGAGGAGAAAGTCCAGATGCACAAGGAAACCAGATGAATGGAAATGAGGAGCTAGCTGAGACTCTGCAGAGATTGCAACCAATGGCACGGAACAATTTGCATATTAATTATTGATTGAAAAACTAATTTGTTTCACCTGAAACACGATAAAATCTGTTTTTTTTTAAGTAAGACCTGTTCATGGAAATTCAAAAGACGTAGCCAAGAGAAAATAAAGAAGATGTAAATAAATGGAGAGATAAACCAGAAAGAGTCAAGTTCCGTTTTCTAAATTAAAGAGCCCAGGTGACTTCTGGGAAGTTTAATTTCCAATGGTTTTATGTAGGTCAGTCCAAGTGAGGAATTGTGCCAAATTGTTCAAGTAACAAGCATATAGAGCTAGAGCAAGAAATAAGTATATATTAAAAGAACAGACACAGTACAAAAGAGAGAGAAATACATCAACATCAAGAACCTAGAAATGCTGCATGAAGACGGCCCATGCAGATCAATCCAGAGGCAGGTGACAGACAGCCCATGTGGAGACAAGAGAAAGCTCACTCTCAGAACCACAATTCAATTCAGTTTGCAAGCCTTGGACACAGACTCCAAAGTGCTCATCTAAACTGGACTTCTGTAAGTTTTGGCTGGTCTGAAGAGCTTCTGGCTTAAAGTCCCCCTGATGGATGAATGTTATGTCATCAAATGCTTTTGAGACAGATATATACATTCACATTTTTTTCAGTCCTCAAACACTCATTCCTCTATTACTCAACCTCTTCTCTCTCAGGCTTTATTGAGATTTGTATGGATGTGACTGTCAAACTGTCAAACAGGAAGGTGATAGAGTGCCTAGAGGATTCTAGGAAGGTGCTCAATAGAGTATTCTCAATGATGGGTGTGTTCTGTATCTATCCTATCCATCAGAACAGCCTCATAAAACTAGTCAACGCTTGGACCATCGCTAGTGCAATGGAGAAACTTTTCATTATACTTTGTTTCAATTTAATTTAAATTGAAATAACCATAGTTATCATACTGGACAGTGCAGGCCTAGAGGAACCTGGCTATTTCAGAAGTTTGAACAAAGGTTCCTGGTGTACCAGGTGCAATGGCTAGAGACTAGAACCCTGTATATTCAAAGACCGCACATCCAAATGGGTTCTAGAATCAACTGAGATGGCCACCCAGGGCTGGGACCCTGCTCTTTCTCCTTTTAAGTGATCCCAGACCAGACCCTCTAGACAACGTGTCTGACTTGCAGGATGCCATTTAACTCTTCCTGGCTTCTCTCTCTTCTCAGAGCAGCATGCTGTGCAGGAACTGACCAAAGCGGCCATGAGTGGAATGGGCATTGATGGGGAAGTGCTCTCTTATTTGGAATTAGCCCAGGTTTGTAACAATTTCCTTTCCACCTTTTAAATGTTTTCAACCAGTTGTTTCAATGCTGATAAAACATTCCTTTGTTGCATCTGTCTAAATAAAGATGTCGCCACTGAGTCACACTGAGAAGATCTGAGAGTTTAAACGTTTCATGCACCATTCACCCTGCTGGGCTTCCTTTGAAAAAACAACAAGGACCCCACCCCCACACCAACCCCATTTCCCCTGAGGCACCAGCTTCACATGTGGGAGAACCACTTGGACTTATTAAGGGGAGGTTTTGTCTCTCCTTCTCCTTTGAATTTCTTCTTAAATTCTTGGACTTGTATTGGCCAAGGCCAGACAGTTTCTAGAATTCCATGAAGGCCTGCGGTGCCTATACAACTCACTACAGCCTCCCTGGCATGTTCTAAAATCAGTATTGATAGTGTGATCCCATGATCTCAATGCACACAGTTGAACCTTCTGAAATAGCACTGAACAACTTGCTCCAGGTACAAAACTAAACCTTGCCTCTGTTTCCTCATCCGTAAGAGACTGGGATGGTCGTTCACACCCTACCAACCTTACAGGTTGTATTGAGAACCAAACAGAGAGAATGTTCAGAAAAGAGCATTGAAGAGTCGAAATTTCTCTCATAAAGAACTTAAGACAGAATCTTTAGTCTCTGGCATAGATTTAGAAACAATGGGTTTACATTCTAAGGAAATTAAGAACAAACTCTTCAGTCTATTCTCTGTTCGTTGGATTTGTCTTTATTTGTTCCCTCTTTCTCTCAGCGCAGTGGTTTAGTAAGTTTGAGATATTTTAAGTGGATGTTTCTCAATCAAGGAAGAGGAGGCAGTTTTAGGGAGAGAAGGCATGTAAAAAGTACGGCCAGGTCATTCCAGCTCTGGCTCATTCAGATGGGAAGACAGAGGAATAGGACTTTACAGAAGTCTGTTGATACTGACTTAGCATTTAATACATATTTTGTATTTTTCTCCTCTAAGTGCCAGGCACTGCCCTAGACACAAGGCAGATGGATAGGAACAGTGGAGTTTCTGCTTTAGGGTGATCACAGGCCAGTGGGAGAACTAGATGAATGCAAGTTATCACAGTTCAATCTGATAACGCAGCCTAGTAGAGGTCACAGTTAAAACTGGGCACAAGCAGCTATAACAGTAGAATCAGCAAGGTTCCACCAAAACTAATTGTCCATACTTAGAAGTTGGGGCTCTTTTGGAAGAAGCCCAGGGGCCAGTTTTTAACTGTCTTTGGTATATGGGGTTGTGATTTTGGAAGTTTCTAGAATCAATGCCTGAGGACTTCGGCTTCAATATTGGACTTCCTCCAGGGAGATGTGAACCTCAGAGGCAACCACACTAGTTTCCAGGATTTTGCCAGATCAAATAAGCATCAAGAGCAAGAGACAACAAAACGATGTCTGAAAAGGGCAGGGGACAAGGAGTGCGGGGCAGTTGTGCTACATTTCTGGAAGGAGCGTGGGTCTGCCTGTCTAGTTGTGAGCATCAGACCAAGCTGTCACAGCTGCTTCCGCCGCCACCTCCCTGAGTCATCTGTCTGCTCAGAATGGAGGCATGCGAGTCTTGGGATCCTTCCCACCCTACCCACACACCTTATTATGTAACCAAAAGGACAGGTATAGGGCAGTCACACACCACAACCACTCCTCTTTCAGATCTCTGGCCCCAGCAGCTGAGCTCTGCCACATGACCCAGTATTCCATTCCTGAGCTTCCTTAAACAGAGATGACATCGCTGCTTTCTGCTGTTGGCGGGTGTCTTCCGGAAGACACATTCAGTTAGGACTAGAGAGCCAGGCAGTGGGGGAGGGTAGGAGGCAAGGCATGCTTTAAACTCCTGATCTGATACGGTACTTATTTCTGGTGCACCCATCATGGGGTAAAGGAGAGGTGTGCCAAAAGCTATACTTGGCTGGCTCCAGTAGCTGTGGCCAAAGTGAAAAACACTGTAGTCAAAACAAGAGCCTTACTGAATTTGTTATTGTTGTTAAGTGCTGTCCAGTTAATTGCAGCTCATAGTGACCCTGCATAGTGTTTCTGAGGAGTGACTGGTGAGCTTGAACCACTGACCTTATTGTTCAAACTGACTTTGCATTCCAGCTCATTAACCCACAGTGCCACACCAGGATTCCATTAGTCATATACTTATATAGGCCCTTTATTTCTTTTCACCCCTACAGTGGTATTCTGTGCCTTTGTAACCCCACTTAGAAAACAGAGCCTGACCTCTTTGGTTATTCCCCTGCAGTTTCATAATGCTCACCAACTGGCTGCCTGGTGTTTGCACCACATCTGCACCAACTATAACAGTGTTTGTTCCAAGTTCCGCAAGGAAATCAAATCCAAATCTTCAGGTGAGAGTCTCCACAGTCCTTGTTTGTCCTGCTCTGCTCACCTCTGATTGAAGTGTTCCCTTTCTATACCCTTGGGGAGTGTGGGATGCTGGCAGCTCATAGAGAATTCTTTGTGGCTGGCTGGTGGTCATATTCAAGTGACATGACCCTAGGAATTGTCTGTTAGAAATTCTCTTTGTAGAACTTCATGCTTGGAAGATTTGGGTGGGCCAGGGTTCCAGATGCCCTGCTTTAAAGCATTCTGAGGTCATTGGCTCACCCTTGTCCAGTGAGGCATGGTTAAGAGAAAGCTTCAACTCTAAAATCAGGTGGTCCCAGTTCAGGTTCCCTGTGCCCAACTGCATGACTGTATCTTACTGATTCTACCTCTTAGGATGTTCATGTCTCAATTTGCAAATGGTCTTAGTCAGAGTCCCTGCCTCATTGGGTAGCTGTGAGGATACATAAGCTAACCCTAGGGTATAGCATGTGAAAGCAGTTAATGGACAGTGGGTCTTATCATCAGTGTGTTTCCACCACTAGACAACCAGGAATACTTTGAAAGACACCGCTGGCCCCCTGTGTGGTATCTGAAGGAAGAAGATCACTACCAGCGTGTGAAAAGGGAACGAGAGAAGGAAGCTATTGCACTAAATAAACATCACTCCAGACGCAAGTGGTGCTTTTGGAGTTCATCGCCAGCAGTCGCCTGAGGAAGAAGACAAAAGAAAATCAGTCATCTGATGCACCACTTTTCAAAGCACTACTGTAAAATTAGTCTTCTTATTAGAGATAAGATGTAGTTCAGATTTCAGGCACTGATCTTCCTCCACTTTTGTGCATTTATCTTTATTAGGATCAAAGCACAAGCTCACCATCAGTGAGCCTGGACAAAAAGGGAAGCTAAGGCTCACTGCATTTCTTAAACTAATATGTATATATATATTTTGGGGTTAGGAGGCTTAATAAACTTTAGTCCGTTACTTCCTTTCTTTTTATACAAAGAAAAATCAGCTTTCATGTTTCAAATTCCAAATTGGGAGATATTTTTATATGGTCTCTTGTATTTTGTTGAAATGAAAATGCTGTGTATTACTTTATTTTACAGGCCACACATTAACCATGAAGTCGCCCTATGATTCAGTGGAAACTCTTTGATCACATGACCACTGAAGCACTGTTACGTAATGAGAGGGTCATCCTTGTGTTGTGAAGTGAAGGGTTGGAATGCAAATTCCCCAAACTGCAAGTTAGAGTGTTTAATCTGTGTTCTGCAGAAAGCCATCAGTGTAATTATCAAGTCAGCTCCAAGAAATGTGTATTTACAATATTTGCTCTGTAAGTGCTAGTAATGATAGGGTTATATGTGCCATGTAAAATATAGTGATATTAAATACCCTGTTGTTTAACATGTCTAGATTCAAGAGGATACTCTTTTATAATCATTAGAAGGGCTTATGAAATCCCAGCATTATCCAGGGCAGACTCACTGGTGGACGTGAAGAGAAGCGATGCAGTGAGAGCATTGGTGGGTGGATGGCGGTGTTAGGGTTTATGTCTGTCAGTATTCTTCAATCTTGCCATGCTTCACATGCAGATTCTCCATTGACTTGAATCAAGATGGACACGGGACCGTTCTACTAACTTTGTCCCAGCGTCTTCAGGCTTCTCATATCTCACCACCAGAAACTGGCTTCCTCAGGTCTCTCACCTGTGGCCAACTTTACTTTGTAAGACACATACTTTTAACTCTTCCCAGGGAAGATTCCTGTCGCTGCAGATGTAGGCTAAAGCAGACCCCATCACTCTTGCTGAAAATCCCTGGGGCCTGTGAAAGCACAAAGCTGGAGGCTGGGACAAACAGGGTCCCTTCATTCTCATGCAGAAAGGGATTTCTTATTACAAGAGTCTAGGAAACGGTGCTATTGCGGGTTAGTTCTGACCCTTTGTCTTTCTGAGCTTTCAGTGTTAAATATAAAGAATTGAGCAGAGGAGCTCCTGAGAAACGAGTTAAACAGTGCTTCTCTGTAAGTGAACATGTTCCAGCAGGCACACAGATCATTCTAAGGCCCAGCACCATACCTGCCAAGGGATGGTTCTGCCATGTGTGGCAGGAAGGAGGCTCATTCTGTTGGGAGCTCACTTACTGATGCTACAGATTATTGATATTGCTTGTGTTTACTTTTTTTTAGTTCGTAGAAATTGGAAAAGAGACAGATGAGTCTAAACCCGAATTTGACGGCCATATGCATTTGAAAACCTGTCTAGGTTAGAGGTAGGCATTTATTACTGGTTGTAGAAACACACCAGATATAAAAGCTTGGAGAGGCTTAGAAATGCATCACCATCCATGACAAAGGAGGGAGAGTAGAGTAGAGATGGCTCTAAGTGCATTCACCTCAACTTTTGGTAAGTACATTACATATCTTTTAGGAAAACAAGGAAGACAAAATGAGGTTGAATGTCAAGACTCAGGAAGAATTGTCGTATGTCCCATCATGAAATGGTAGAGGTTGCATTTTCAAATGAGTAGTCAGTAGGTGAATTTATACAACCAAAGTTCCCATTTGATTGTAATCTTGCCAAAACGTAATGGACGTATCAATGAACCTGGGATATAAGCAATAATCTCCATTAGTGTTTATTATCAGCTGCTGTGACCAACTGGCTGGTTCATTTGGTTGATGCTGATTATGGCCTTTCACCATGGTGGTTTGTTTTGTGTTTTTTATTTCACACACGAAAACAAACAAACAAACAAAAAAAAACCCAATAAAAGTGTTTAGTTATAAAATGTCTCTAGTTTTGTTTTTGTAAGAACTACCATCATATCTTGGGAGTCCTGGTGTGGTGCTGCAGGATAATGTGCTGGACCATAAGGTCAGTTTGAACCCCAAGGTCGTGGTTCAAACCTACCAGCTGTTCCTCAGAAAACCTATACAAGCGTCGCTATGAGTTGGAACCGACTCAACAACACTTAACAATAACAACAACAACAGCCATCATATCATGAATGTAATTTTAATAACTTTTTTATAACTACCCTAAGTTTTCGAGTGTGGAGCCAATGAGGCTTGCGTGTGCTTTTAGTATTCAAGCCACTGTATTGACAGTTATCTTTGTTTTCAGCTTTGCCAGCACAGATTCCAGGACCATGATGCAAATGAGATATCTGGCTCTTTGCTCTTGGCTAATGTGCTTATGTCATTAGACGTGGTTCAGCTTGCAGAAAACAGAAATGACGTGTCTGTCCTAATGGATTCAAATAATCTGGGTTTGGGGGTAGCTCTACTAGCAAATCCATGAAAGGTCTGAGTTGGTGGAATCAGAGTCAGCCTCCCTGCTGAAGCAGGCCCTGGAAAAGGTTCTGGAAAATCTAAACAACATGTGGACTTTTACATGGTGCAACATTTATCCCAGCTCCAAAAGAAAAGGGCTCACCAATGATATTTCATTGGTGACTCTGCTGGGGAACATACTCTCTAAACCCCAGGGTAATATAAGAAATGACACCAGAAAGAAGACAATGAGATTTACTACACATTCCCACACCTTTTAGAGGAGAATGGTCTTGATCATGAATCATGGTACCTTTTGTGTAAGGCATCTCAATGGAATCTTACCTATAGAAAGTCTGGGTTTAAGTTTCTGCTGGGGAAGTAAATGCCTGGTACATTCTCAGATGTTTCAACATCCTACTCCTATTTTGAGAACTCCACATATCATAGCAGTGTAGAAATAAAAAGTATTTTTGTTATAAAATTCAAATGCAAAAATCCAATATTCCTAAGATACTGTTTTTCTGACTTGCTTCCATTATATGATATAGTAACAGAGCTGGGTTCAGTGGGCAAGGATCAGCGGGCAGCTAGGAGCAGGGGGGCTGGTTAGGAGAGTTTCTGCTAGTCTAGGTCTGGCCTGGCAGCTCTGCGAGTTCTGCAGGTCTGGAGAAGAGTCTGCCTGAATCTAGCTGCTGGAGCGGAGCGGCCTCAACCCACCTCACATTGGTGCAGCTCACAACCAGAAAGCTCAGAACTCCCAGAAAGCAAGGGATGTGCTGGGAGTGGGTGAGAGTGGGGCCAGCCACATCCCTGGTCATGTGGGGAGCATGGGGAGCAAGAAAGAATTGCATCTTTCCCACCTTCAGTCACCAAGTGTACATCTGCATCACCAGGCCAGTGTGCCTCCAAAGCTGCTTGTAGAAGAAGTTCAGGATGGTTGTGCTACGTCTGGCCAGTGGACCATTCACCATTCTGTCTCCTTTCCCAGCCCCTCCCAGCAAGTATTAAATAACACTCTCGGTCCTGTCTTCTGAAGTTCAGGGCTCTAGGGTTATCATCTGTGTGGGTTTTATTTGGTCTCCCATAACTTTGTTGTACAGCTGCAGTATAGTGTGTCTGCCTAGGCTGCCATCTTGCTGGAAGTAGCTTTCCATCTTCTTTTGATACTCCTGCATTATTCAATAATTTACCTGTTGTTGTTGTTGTTAAGTGCCAACCCATAGCAACCCTGTATAGGGTTTTCAAGGAGCATCTGGTGATCTTGAACCACCAACCTTGCAGTTCAAATGGCTTTGCAGTCTGGCACATTAACCCACAGCGCCACACCAGGACTCCTATAGAATCCTTCAATATTGAAACTGGAGGCTTGAATTTTTTCCTCAGTTCTTTCAGTTTGAGAAATGCTAAGTGTGTTCTTCCCTTTTGGTTTTCTAACTCCAGGACTTTGTACATTTCATTGTAATACTTGGTCTTCTCAAGCTGTCCTTTGAAATTTTCGGTTCAGTTCTTTTATGTCCTCATTTCTTCCAGTTGCTTTAGGTTCCCTATGCTCAAGAGCAAGATCCTGAGTGTCTTCTGACATCCATTTTTTCTTCATTCTTTCCTGTTTTTTGCTTTTCTTTTTAAAGACCTTGTGCTTTCTTCATGTATGATGTACTTCATTTCATCCACAACTCTTCTAGTTTGGGGTCATTGCTATCTAATGCATCAAATCTGTTCTTGAGGGGCTATCTAAATTCAAGTGGGATACATTAAAGGTCATATTTTGGTTTTCATGTACTTGTTTTATTTTATTTCAGATTCAGCCTGAACGTGCCTATGAACAATTGATGGTCTGTTCCACAGTCTGCCCAGGCCTTGTTTTGGCTGGTGAGATTGAGTTTCCCCATCAACTCTTCCCACAGATGGAGTCAGTTTGATTCCTGTGTATCCCATCCTGTGAAGTCCAACATAGTCACTGGTTATGTTGTTTAAAAAAGGTATTTACAGTGAAGAAGTCACTGATCTTGACAATTCTATTACGTGATCTTCATCATTTCTACTACCAAGCCCGTATTTTTCCAACTACTATTCCTTTATCTTTGTTTCCAAGTTACACATTCCAATCATCAGTAATTATCTATGCATTTTAATTGCATGCTTGATCAATTTCAGACTGAAGAGTTAGTAGATTTCTTCAGTTTCATCATCACTGGCTTTTGTGGTTGCTGTGTAAATTTAAATAATAGTGGTATTAACTGATCTTCCTTTTAGACATGGATATTATCCTATCATAAACAGTATTGTACTTAAAGATCTTGGAAAACTGATTTTGACAATGAATGTGCTGTCATTTCTCTTCAATTTGTCTTTCCTGACATAGTAATCTGATTCAAAGTAACCAATACCAGCCCATTTCAGCTCACGAGTGCCTAGAATATCAATATTTTTGCATTCCATTT